ATAGATAGATAGATGATAGATAGATAGATCGATCTTTGGTTATTCGGGTTTTCTCCCGCGTAAGATTGGAAGTATCTAGGCAACGTTTCGATGAAGTCTCATTCATCATCTTCAGGCTTCTGTCTTCAGCTCTGTGCTTCTCAGAGTGATGTGAGCTTGCAGCTGCTTCTTCCTTTTAACTGCTAGTGGGGGTGGGACTTGATTGGGTGGGGGCTTGGCTGTGCTCTGTAGAGGTGAGCCTATGGAGCTGACTATTGGTCTAAGTGGAGTTCCTTCTTTGTGTATCACCTCTACAAAACCTAGCCAAATTTCTCGCCAAACAACTGCAGCCCTATGCAGAATCCATCAACTCACATGTAAGAAACTCATTCCAGTTCATCGAGATCATAAAGAAACAAAACTTACAACCCAGCGACCTACTAGTGAGCTTCGATGTCATATCCCTCTTCGCCCAAGTGCCAATAAAAGAAGCCTTGACAGCCATCCAAAACAAATACAACCCCCCCCCAGCACATCCTAGATCTGACCAACCACTGTCTATCCAATACATACTTCACCTACAACGGACAAAAATACAAACAAATAGAAGGAGCACCCATGGGATCACCCCTCTCACCTGTCATCGCAAACCTCTACATGGAACACTTTGAAACACAAGCTCTAGAAAAATATGATCACAAACCCAAACTCTGGCTCAGATACGTAGATGATACCTTCATAATCTGGCCACACGGGAAAGAAAAACTGAACAACTTCCTCACACACCTCAACAGCCTACACCCCAAAATACAATTCACCATGGAAACAGAAGCTAACAATCAACTTCCCTTCCTAGATGTCTTGGTATACAAAAAACCCAATGGCTCCCTAGGACACACCACCTACCAGAAGAAAACACATACAAACCGCTATCTACATGCACTCTCACACCACCACCCAGCACAGATCAATTCCGTAGCTGAGACACTCATCTCCAGAACAAAATGCTTAGCTGATGAACAACACCTAAAAACCGAACTAAACACTCTCACCAACGTACTAACAGCCAATGGATTCCAAAGAAAGAAGATTACCCACCTAATCCAAAAAGAAACCCCAACCAAAATCCAAGACAGAGAACAAGAGAACGGCAAAGCCCTCCTCCCATATATAAAAGGCACTACAGACAAAATCAGCAAGATCCTCCAAAAACACAACATTAAAACAGCATTCTGCACAAACAGAAAAATATCCACCATCCTAAGAAACCCTAAAGACAAAATTGAGTTAGAAAACCAAGGAGTATACGAAATCCCTTGCACCGCCTGTCCCACCACATACATTGGACAAACTAACAGAAGAATAAGTGCACGCGTTGAAGAACATAAGAACTCAATCAAAAAAGAAGAACCGACCTCTTCCCTGGTCCAACACCTCAAAGCCACAGGACATGAGATTGACTTTAAAAATACCAGAACTATCGCCAAAACCGAACACTTCAACAACAGAATAATCAGAGAAGCCATAGAGATAGAAAAACGCCCACACAGCATGAATAAAAGAGATGACACCTCCCGCTTACCAGCCATTTGGAAACCCGCCCTCATGAACAGACGAGTACCTAACATGATGAATGACACCAGACCCACACCCACGAGGGCCACACAAGATGCCACCACCACACTTCCACGTAAAAAGCAGACTCACACCCACACAGAAGATGAGACACGACCACAGACCAGAAGCCGCACTGCAGCTGCATCACTACCCACTTCAAACCCCTCTGAGCCATACATGAAGCGAACTGACCCCCACCATGAAGATGCAGCACGACCACGAACTCGAAGCCAAACAGCAAGATCACAGCTCACCAGCTCAAATCCCCCAGTAACTAAGACCAACCTGAGCACAACCAAGCCCCCACCTGAACAGAACACACCTCCAGCCAATCAGAACATGGCCAACCCCCCAACCAATCAGAACACAGCCAAACCCCCAACCAATGAGAACACACCCCCAC